GCTAAAGCTGAAATTAGCAACAGCTGTGAGGCACCACGCTCCTTAGCCCAGTGGTTCTCAACCTTCTGGCCCTTTAAATACAGTTCCTCATGTTGTGACCCAACCATAAAATTATTTTCGTTGCTACTTCATAATGTTGCTACTGATATGAATCGTAATGTAAATATCTGATATGCAGGATGGTCTTAGGCGACCCCTGTGAAAGGGTCGTTCAACCGCCATAGGGGTTGCGACCCACAGGTTGAGAACTGCTGCCTTAGCCCTTAGGACACTGTAGACCAGTGGTTCTCAACCTTCCTAATGCCACGACCCTTTAATACAGTTCCTCATGTTGTGGTGACCCCCAACCATAAAATTATTTTCATTGCTTCTTCATAACTGTAATTTTGCTACTGTTATGAATGGTAATGTAAATATCTGATATGCAGGATGTATTTTCATTGTTACAAATTGAACATAATTAAAGCATAGTGATTAATCACAAAAACAATATGTAATTATATATGTGTTATCCGATGGTCTTAGGCGACCCCTGTGAAAGGGTCTTTTGACCCCCTGTAGACAGACCATCTTCTACACCATTAACAAACTTAAACGCTGTCAAGGGATCACACTCACCGGTGTCCTCTGACCACGATGGACCAGAACTCCCGGCCCTGTGCCATGCGGAAGCTGCAGGAACTCAGACTCGTAGGATGGGTGGCTCGACCAGGTACCCAGAGCCGGTCAGTGAGGAGAAGGGATCTGGACCCAAATCCGTGACAACTCCCAGGCCTGAGCCTGAAACTGCATGATGTGCCCTATGGAGGCAAACCCATCATGCTGTGAAGAACTTGCTAATTGTCTTCTTTAAATCACACAAATAACACAAAGACCAGAGCCGAGATCCAAGGGCACTGGAAAGTGCCCAGAAGGAAAGCAGACTTACCCTTCAGGCCCCGAGGTGAGCCGTCACTGGACGCATGCCTATGGCTCTCCAAGCTACCTGGCCCGGACCCTGAGAGGAAAGGACAACCCTTAACCCAAAGGGCCGATGACCCAGTCTAGCCCAGACTAAGCCCTCCAGTCTGACAATAAGGACATAACAGAGCGATTCTGCTACAGCTCAGGGGAGCGCCCCCAGGAGCACAGTCCTGGATTCTGAGATGCCCCAGGAGGGTCCCGCCTCCCGAGTGCCAGGCCCCGTGCACAGTGGGCATGGGCTGTGCGGGATGACAGCCTGTGCTTCTGTGTCTGTGAGGTCTGGGGCTGGGCTCAAACAATTTTGTTAACAAAGGAAATTTCACGCAGAACTCCGGTACCGACCAAACAGGGCGGCTCTGGGAAAGTGAAGCTGTGGAGGGGTGGGGAGCCCACCCTTACTACACATGGAGCTTTCTAGAACACGTGGAAACATCCTGCCTAGGCCAGGACAGGGGCACCTGGTGAGGGCGGGAGCCAGCACAGGGCAGAGTGTGCATGCCCACAGGTGGACAATGAAGTCTGTTCCTGCTTCCCCTCGGTGGTCTGAGGGGTCGGGTGCTGGATTCTCAGGAGGAAAGAACGTGCTGGCTTTCCGTGGCTGTTTGCTGTCCTTCAGCTCCTTCTCTTTTTTGTTTCAAATTGACATCTGCCCCAAAGGGAAATGAAACGGACCTCCCCCGTGACAAGTGTGGGGCAGCCACCCTCCTGGCTGCAGTGTGTCTAGGGCAGCCCTCCCTGCCTCCCTGGGATCAGAGAGGGAGCACCTGCTGCAGGGAGGACAGCCCCACCCGGCCAGGGCAGGGGGTCCCTTCCAGGCCTGCAGACCTCCCCTCCTGGTCCACGCCCCCAGCACACTCAGTCCCACGGCCCCACGCCAGGTATCATCAGGGCTGGTCCCGCTGCACAGTCATGGCTGGGGACAGGGACTGTGTGCCCGTCGTCCCTGCACACAGCTGCTGTTGAGCTGAACTGCACTGAGAACCGGGGACACACTAGGGGCGGCTCTGCTTCCGCCCCCCAAGCAGTCTGCTCTGGACTCACTGGGACACAGGGCACCCAGTTCCCCAGCCCTGGTGCACTCCCCAAATATCAGGCATCGGAAAAAGCCTGTTAGCAGTGGGGTTTGGGGGTGAGCCAAGTACTTGGTTCCCATGAAGAGCACAGAAGGAAAACTTGAACAAAAAACCCTCCTTCCTCTTGGAAAAGGACGTGTCACTGAAAGGCAACTGTGATACAGCTCAGCGGCTCCCAAAGCCTCCGTCCATTCCAGCCCTGCTCTGCCCACCCCTTCACCTCTGTCTCTTGATGAGAGAAGCTCCAGGAATCAGAACAGTAAGGAAGACATTCCCTTTCCTCAGCAGATTCAGTGTAAATCTGGCCCCTAGGTGACACTTCCAAGAGCAGTGGCCGACTCCTCCTGTCTTGTTACCCTTCACCCGGTGTGAAGAGGGGAGGGCTCCACGGTGTCACACTGCCCCCCACAGAGCCTGTCTCTGCCCATAAGTTGCAGGAGCCCATGCCAGCACCATGGAGCTTTCTAGGCAATGGGAGGGTGGGAGATAGTGCTCCTCCTGCACTTATTGTTGATACTTCAGAAGCCGAAGGCAATGTAAACGCTCTCAGCTTTTGTTTTAATTAAAAAGTTAGCTTCCTACCCTCCTAGGATTTTGTTCTTGGGAAATTATAAAGACCCAAAGTGACTGTTAATGGTCTAGAACAGCCGTGGGCAAACTACGGCCAGAGGGCCAGATCCGGCCCGGTTGAAATGAGTAAAACTAAAAAAAAAAAAAGACCGTACCCTTTTATGTAATGATGTTTACTTTGAATTTATATTATTTCACACAAACACTCCATCCATGCTTTTGTTCCGGCCCTCAGGTCCAGTTTAAGAACCCATTGTGGCCCTCGAGCCAAAAAGTTTGCCCACCGCTGATCTAGAAGGCTAGTCTCATTCACTGATTCCCTTCTGCCTACATGAGAAGGCAAGTGTTTCCACCAATTTCTAAGATGAAATTTACCCCTGGGAGCTGCTCTGGGCAACTCCAATCCAGGTGAGGAAGGTGAGCCTTCCTGCAATCAGTGCTCTCTGCCTGGGCCACTAGGCCTTCCTTCAGGCAAGGGCAGCCAAAGCCTCCAGAATAGCGACTCCCCATCACGGGAGGGGTGCAAGCAGGAGCTGCATGCTTAGGCCCCTCGGGGAGGCAGGGAAGGGGTGTTGAGGAACTGCGGGTCCCCATTCCCGCTTCAGCACAACACCTCCACTTTCACCGCCTTTGTGTGTGGGACTTGCACACAGGCCTGAGCTTGAAGGAAAAGCACTGTTGGTGGAAACAGGTCTGAGATCCAGGCTGAAGGGCACCACGCACCGCCCACTCCCCCTGCTGCCTGTGGTTGGAAACTGGAGCTCCAGGGACCTCTCACAGGAGCTGTCATCTGAATTCTAGCCCGCTGAGAACATAAGGCTGGTGAGTCAGCGGACCTGGAACATCCACGGAAATTCTGGGCCTTTTGCCAGACGGCCACCTCTGACTCTGGCCCGGCCCTGAGTCGTGGTCGTGTCCAGCTCCTGGAGGAGGGAGGGTCGGGTGGGCTATGCCCTGGGGGAGTATGTGCCCTGTATGTCCTATCTCTCCCCATTTCTTCTGCTGGGACAGCCTCACACTCGGGACTCTCTCTGACTTAACTGTCAATCACTCTTCCGCCTGCGCAATGACTGGGACTCCAAAGGACAGCAGTGTCCTGGCCTAAGGGCCATGCAGCAAAGGCAGCTGATACTTAGAATCCCGGGAGCCCCTCCCACCTCCAGGGCCAGCTGCACCATAAGCAGGGCCCTGAGAGCAATCCTCTCCCAGGGGCCTGGGGCCTCCAGGGCTTGGAGGAAGCAAAAGGAAAGAACCACCACCTGAGGGAGGAGGCGGGTTCCCTAGAGACTGAGCCTGCACCAGCAGCTCCTCACCAGCAACATCAGGAATCCATGGGCCACCAGTCACTCTCTTCCCTGAGAAGGACTAGGATGCCCTGTGCCTCAGGCCTGCCAGCTGCTCTCTGACAGCAGCCCTGGGTCCCCCCAAACGGACACCAGGGTCCCCATTGTGCAGACAGTTCTAGGTCCCCCTGAGCATGAGCACTGGGCTGCCAGGGAATTGCCTTGGGCAGTGCTGGGCGTGCAGTGTGAGGGGCCCTCGGGCAGGCTCCGCAGGCGTCTGAACAGGCCTGGGCTCTGGCTCAGGGGGGATCCAGGCTGAGGCAGCCCAATGGTTAGCCTGGAGGGCCAGGCCTGGAGCCACACAGGTCGTTGGCAGGTCCAGGGGAGGTGGTGCTCAGGCTCCTGCTGGAGCCCAGGCAGAGCTTCTGCTCTGCAGAGCCTGGGAGACCAGGCTGATTGCTGAGTGCCCACAAGGGACACGGAGCAAGCCCACCCCAGCCGCACAGGGCACAGCGCCCCTGACACCCAACAGTCAGTGGCTGCCGTTTCAGTGTCTGGCCAGAGGGACTGCCTCCTGCCCTGTGCTCACTCACCTCACCTCCCAGGGGTGCTTCTGATTTGTAAACCAGAGGCCAGGTCCTGAGGTTGAGCCAGGCAGCCTAGAGGGCAGGGGCCCTGTCTGTCTTTGCTGGGCTTTTCAAACCACGGTTATGCTTGTCATAGCTTCCAGGGTCCAGTGGGAGGTAAGATGATGAAAAATCATAACCGCTTCTTCTCTCGTCAGTTTCTAACACCTCCGGGGCAGTCATTTCCAGCTCCTCTGCTGTCCTCAGATGCTGTCATCTCTAGGTCATAAGCAGAATGTCTTTTTAAGTTTTAAGCTGTATTTCTCCCCTCTGTTGCATATTTTACATTTCCCAGTGCTCATCCCCAGATGCTTCTTTTCACAGCATCCTGTTCTGGTTGCATCGTGCAAAGTGGCTTACTTTGCACGAAGGGCTACTGGCATCTGGAGACATCCAACCTGTCAATCCTCCCCGAATCCCCTTGTTTTTCAGTCTAGGACACCTGCCCTCCTCGCCATGGACCGGCCTCCAGTGCAGGGACCCTGTCAAGTCTCCTCCCTGGAGAAAAATCCTCCAATGTTGCCTGATTTTAACCCAAATTCTGGTTCACCTCCAGAGTTAGAGAGCCGCTTGGTGCCACCAATTCCTGAGCAGTGGTGTGGGTCCCAGGGCTCAGGCCCAGCCGTCCAGATGGCAGAGTTACCCTCCCAAAGTTGCACAGCTGTAGGTGGAGTTGAGCTCTGAACCTGTGTGTGTGGGAAGCCATCCTGTCCCCAGCGTCACCCACCTACTGACCACCTCTCGGTCTGAGAGGCGCCTCCTGCTCCTGTCAGCTGGGTCTTTGGGAAGGATCTCGGGCCGAGATGCTCATCCCTCTTGGTTCTGGAGGGACCCGTGACTCACCGTGGGTGCGGCCTGGGTGCCGGGAGGTGGAGGTGGAGCTGGAAGGAGCTGTAGTGATGGCTGAGGATGAACAGGCCCTGGAGCCCAGCTCTGATGGCCTGGGCTTGGTGGCTGGGTCAGTGGAGGCATCAGTGCAGTCAAGACTGCCTCTGGGTGGGGCCACTCCCTTTGGTATTGGGTCCCCAGGGCCTGGGGCAGAGAAGAACAGTGAGAAATGGGGCTGCAAAATCCCATGCCAAGGTGGGGAGATCACACTGAGGCCTAGAAGCAGAGGCAGCAGGGCCAGGGAGCCCAGGGACAAAAGTGGGGCTGTGTGCCTCATGGGTGTGGTCTAAGTGGGGGCCCTGGTGGCAGCCTGAGCTGGAGGCCCCAGGACGCTGGCCCTGGCTCTAACCATGGCTCACAGTGCGAGCCGCCAGCAGCCGGGAGAAAATAAAGGGTGAGCTCAGGAAGCTCAACAAAATGTTGGTAAAAGTCCAACACGTTAACTACTGGGCCCCCCTGCCGTGTCCCTCAGTCCCTGATCACTAGTTAGAAGAACTGGCCTGTGGCTGCTCAGGACCACTCCCGACCTGTGGGCCAGGCCCTCAAGGTCCAGGATGTGCACCCTGCCAATGGGCTTCCCTTATGATTTGAGAAAGAAGTTCATTGCCACCCTAACAGTCATCTGTATAAGAAGTCTTCATCTCTCATGGTGACTTTGATTGCAAGAATAATTTTTACCATGTTTTGCAATTTCTGAATTTTCTTCTGTGAACATATACCCTTGTCTAAGTTAAATAAAACCCCAATAAAAGCAACATTGGGAGGAAAAACACCTGAAAAACCTTCGACTACCTCCTAGTAGGAAAGGGGATGGGCTTTCCAAATACAAGTGAAAAATGAAAGTGGCTGGAGTTCCTCAGAGCATCAGGACAAGGGTGTTTTGCACAGTGTCCTGCTCCAGGCAGCCTGAGAGCTATGGACCCAAATCCATGCCCACTGTGGGGATTCCAGTCCCTCCACACTCTCCCAGGACATGTCCCCCATGGCCCTCAGCCACCCAGTGTCTGGAATCATGGGGTATTTTTAAGCACCCAAGCCTTGCAATGTGAAATCAAGGGGAAATTTGGATTCTGAAAGATAACCTTGATGAGCAGCAAGATTCAAGTCTGGTGGGATGAATCTGACAGGCGTCCACTACCTGAGGTCAGCGTGAGGAGCAGTGGGGAGGCAGAAGTGCCAGACAGCAGCCAGGGCAGAGAGAGCGCGTTTCCAACAGCATGCGGGGCAGGCAGGCGGGGGACCAGCATGCAGCAGCCCAGGAATCAGAGCGATGCATTCGAAGAAGTGAGTGCCACATCAACTGACAGGAGCAGTGTGAGTGTCATCCGTTTACTTTCAAGGTGACCTTGTATTTATATGATAGTGGTTTTCCACTCACAGTATGGATAACAATCTTTCCTTTTAAATTAAAGTGGAAACGGCAAGTCGATTCAAGGGAAAGTATGTAAGTATCACTCAGGTGAAATAGACTTTGAAAAATCATGGAGATGGTATGAGGATGGCTGAAGACAGAAAACAATGCAGTAGCTAAAGGCCTCTGCGGACCAGCGCTCCCGGCTGGCGTTGACTGTGAGCTGATGACCTGTCTGTCCACTGCTGCCCTCACAGCAGCATCCAAGACGTCAGAGGACCTCAGCACGGTCCCAAAACATCACTCTGGGCTGAACCCTGGCTGGGCAACATCGATCCGATTATTTGAGATGCTGAGTGGAGCAGTCAGTTTCTCAAAAACACAGAACACATCTAAAAGGGACTACTCCGCAAAAGCCTAATTTCTGCGCTCTGACTCAGAAAGTGGAGACAAGGGCAGCAGATTTAAAGTTAGCTGCCCAAAAATGAGTCTTAAAAAAATCTCACTTGACAGGGAAAGCACAGTTTCAGAAGCATAGCGACCACTGATGACTTCTGTGTTGCACAGGGGCAAGGTCTACAAGCTTGCAGGTGCCAGAGAGGGGGTGGCACTGGGCCCAGGACTCACTTAGCACAGACACCCTGGCCCAGGGACCTGGATGTGGATGCCCCGAGGCTCCCCTAACACTGCTTTATGCTGGAGTCAGGTCCAGAGGCTGGGACAACTGGTCCCTATGAAGTCAGAATTCAGGTTGGCTGCTTTAAGCTTGGCTTGGAATGTGGGTCAGAGGGAGGGGTCCACTATGGGACATCTGGCCTTTAGCTACTGTTTTTCTCTTTGTTTGTTTGTATTTCAGATATTGTGAAGACACTGATGGATTAGAAATCCCCAGTGTCTGAGAAAGGGAGGGGCTAGTGGGAAGCAGGTTTGATGTCAGAGCAGGTCCAGAACCTCAGGCGTTTATAGAGAGCCGGGCGGGATGATGGAGACTTGGCCTTGTCCTCGCTTCCACTTCTGCAGAAGCGACTCTTTTTGCGCTGAGTTGCTAAATTGTGAACCCCTGGATAACCCAAGAGAGGAAGGAAAAACAAAACAAAACAGCAAATAAATGAAACGAATAACAAATGACTGTGTTAGCTAAATGGTCTTGGGAAATCAGAGTCCTGTCCTGCCCAGGAGAGTTGGAAACAATACCCACAGCACAACCAGGATCAGGACTCAGTGAGCCATTATGCTCTGACCCCACTTAATTAATTTAGTGGCGTCCTGTGCCAGGCTTTACTTAGCACGTGAGGAGGATTCTATATTGCTCTAGGAGCCGCTGCCTTAGACTATTTTTCAATGTCAATGTGTTAAACTATTAAATAAGAATGTTTACTAGTTTAGGACCCGGTTTTTCTTACTCCTCCGCCCTAATGACAAGCTCCCTGACAACTTGGCTCACACACAACTAACTCCTGCTCCTGTTCAAACACCTTGGGACACTTCCTGGTATGCTTCTGACTGCTGCAACGGGACAGTCCACCTGAACTGCTCACTAATAGTCCTTGTCCTTTTCAAACAGCCTCTTATGGAAGGATGGGTTTGAAATTCCTCTTTTTCAGACCAAAACACTGTCAACATCAAGAATTATTCCCATTTAGATCCCTACACATCCTCTACTGCAAGCCTACACTTCATGACCTTTAAATTATGGAGTCTTATCAGAGCAGACAATTGGCCTAACTTCCTGAACATGTCATGTACATGAGCATAACTGATTTATCTGATTTCTTTTTTTTTCCTTTTTTTTTTATTGCTTAAGGATTTAAGTGCATAGCAGCACCACCTGGTGGCCACAGCTCACACCACAGGCGAAGGGACCCACTATCCAGTGGTGGACAAACTGTGGCTTGTGAGCCACATGCGGCTCTTTGAGTGTGGCTCTTCTTAAGCCTTAGGAGTACCCGAATTAAGATAATAACAATGTACCTATCTATATAGTTTAAGTTTAAAAAACTTGGCTCTCAAAAGAAATTTCAATCGTTGTACTGTTGATATTTGGCTCTGTTGACTAATGAGTTTGCCAACCACTGCTATGCAATGCTGGTGCTCCAGGCTTGGTCAGCACCTTCAGGGACCAAAGCAGCTTCAACTGCAGGCAGTGCTCACAGTGGTTAAGAGTTCAGGCTCCGTAATCTGTCAGACCCGGGTTCGGATCCCAGCTCCACCCCTTATTCTCTGAGCAAGTGCTTAACCTTTTCAAGCCTCACTTTCCCAGCCCTGAAAAGGGGATAGGAATTGTACCTGCTTCACATGGCAGGTGGAACTAAAGGAGAGACGTAAGGTGTGAAACTAGCTAAAGGGTGCTGAGCCTAGAAAGAGCCTACATTACATGGATGCCATTACCAATATCTACCACTGACCTGCTCATTCATGGATCCAAACAGTTGTTTATCTTTTTTAATTTTTAGTGTTTTTAATATATTTTATTGATTTTTTACAGAGAGGAAGGGAGAGGTATAGAGAGTTGGAAACATCGATGAGAGAGAAACATCAATCAGCTGCCTCTTGCACACTCCCTACTGGGGATGTGCCTGCAACCAAGGTACATGCCCTTCACCGGAATCAAACTTGGGACCCTTGAGACCGCAGGCTGATGCTCTATCCACCAAGCCAAACCGGTTAGGGCTATCTTTTTTTAAAAAAAAATTTTGTTTTATTGCTTAAAGTATTACAAAGAGTAGTACATTTGTTTCCCTTTTTCTCCATTGACCTTCCCCCAGCCTCCCCTACCCCCCAGTATCTTGAGTCCATTGGTTATGCTTATATGCATGCATACAAGTCCTTCAGTTTATCTCTTACCTCCCCCACCTACCCTCCCCAGCCTTCCCGCTGTAGTTTGACAGTCTGTTCCATGCTGCTCTGCCTCTGTATCTATTTTTGTTCATCAGTTTATACTGTTCTTTATTATCCATAAATGAGTGAGATCATGTGGTACTTTTCTTTCATTGACTGGCTTATTTCACTTAGCATAATGCTCTCCAGTTCCATCCATGCTGTTGCAAATGGTAAGAATTTCTTTTTTACCGCAGTGTAGTATTCCATTGTGTAGATGTACCACAGGTTTCTAATCCATTCATCTGCTGATGGGCATTTAGGCTATTTCTAAATCTTAGCTATGGTAAATTGTGCTGCTATGAACATAGGGGGACATATATCCTTTCTGATTGGTGTTTCTGGTTTCTTGGGATATATTCCTAGAAGTGGGATCACTGGGTCAAATGGGAGTTCTATTTTTAACATGTTGAGGAAACTCCATACTGTTCTCCACAGTGGCTGCTCCAGTCTGCATTCCCACCAACAGTGCACGAGTGTTCCTTTTTCTCCACATCCTCTCCAGCACTTGTCCTTTGTTGATTTGTTTATGATAGCCATTCTGACAGGTATGAGATGGTACCTCATGGTCGTTTCGATTTGCATCTCTCCGATGTTTAGTGATTTTGAGCACGTTTTCCTATATCTCTTGTCTTTCTGAATATCCTCTTTCAAAAAGTGTCTATTTAGGTCCCTTGCCCACTTTTTATTGGATTGTATATCTTCCTTTTGTGAAGTTGTATGAGTTCACTGTAGATATTGGAGAGTAAACCTTTATCGGTGATAACATTGGCAAATACGTTCTCCCATGCAGTGGGCTTTCTTGCTGTTCTGTTGATAGTTTCTTTTGCTATGCAGAAGCTTTTTATTTTGATGTAGTCCCATTTGTTTATTTTCTCTTTAGTTTCCATTGCCCGAGAGCTGTATCAGTACAGATATTGCTACCACAAATGTCTGCTATTTTGCTGCCTATTGCTTCTTCTAAGATTTTTATGGTTTCCCATCTTAAATTTAAGTCCTTTATCCATTTTGAGTTTATTTTTGTGTATGGAGTAAGTTGGTGGTCTAGTTTCATTTTTTTTGCAAGTATCTGTCCAGTTTTCCCAACACCATTTATTGAAGAGACTCTCTTCTCTTGTCTCCATTGTATGCTCTTGCCTCCTTTGTCAAATATTAATTGAGCATACTGGCTTGTGTTGATTTCTGGGTTCTCTGTTCTGTTCCACTGGTCTATGTTTGTTCTGATGCCAGTACCAGGCTGTTTTAAGAACAATGGCTTTGTAGTATAGCTTGATATCTGGTATTGTGATCCCTCCTACATTGTTCTTCTTTCTCAATTTTGCTGCAGCTATTCGGGGTCTTTTTTTATTCCAGATGAATTTTTGGAGAGCTTGTTCTAGATCTTTGAAGTATGCCATTGGTATTTTAATGGGGATTGCATTGAATTTATAGATTGCTTTGGGTAGTATGGACATTTTAATGATGTTGATTCTACCAATCCAAGAACATGGTATGTTCTTCCATCTCTTTATGTCTTCCTCTATCTCTTTTTTCAACGACCTGTAGTTTTCTGAGTAGAGGTCTTTTATGTCCTCAGTTAAGTTTATTCTTATGTATCTTAATGTTTTTGGTGCAATGGTAAATGGGATTGTTGTGGGTTTTTTTTTCGCTTCTCTTTCTGTGAGTTCATTATTAGTGTATAAAAAGGCCATAGATTTCTGGGTGTTACTTTTGTATCCTGCTACTTTGCCAAATTCACTTATTAGGTCCAGTAGTTTTTTAATGGAGCCTAGGGCGTGGGCCCAGGTAGAGTTGCTGAAGGTGAGAGATTCACCTAACTCAGCAGATACTGCAGGTAGGCCTGATGGCAGCTGGATGGCTTGGCTTCCTTTCCTATGGGGCACACTAAGATTAAATCATGAAATTCTGGCAAAGGTGGTCAGTTACCATTCTTGTTGTGTTTATGTAAACAATCAGGCCAAATTAAATACAATAGAAAAGTTGGTCTTGATTTGGCTCTTTTGATAAACATAGAGGTAATTTTAAGGAGATAAATTCTATTTCTATAGAAGTTATTAAAACTAAAATGTTTTCTTTCCCTTCCACTGGACCATTTGTTACAGTCTGTCTCCACCAGGTCACAATCCCACCTCCTTCTGTGCCCAGGCCTCATCATCCCTCTGACAGACAGCAAGGATCTCTTGGCTCTGAGAGAACCTCTGATCTGCCTCAGCAGGAAGTAATTACAGAAGAAATGCAATGTCCATTTTCCCTAAAAGAATTCAGAGCCAGGATCCTTGAGGTAATATATAGGGCAGTTAGACAGACATGAGCAGAGCAGGGACGATGGGCCAACTAGCACTACCAGATGTAACTAAGTATTTCCACCTTTAGGTATGTAAGACCTAGGGGCATAGCCAAAGAGGTACTCACCCAAAGTCTCATCCCCTAGAAAAGGCCAATAGCCTATTTGTCCAAAAGACTTAACCCCTTTACATTTTGCTGATCTACTTACCTCCGGGCAGTAGCATCCACAGCTATGCTTATCAAAAAAAGCAAATAAGTTAACCATAGGGCAGGAACTAATGCCCCACATGCAGTTGAGGCTTTACTCCAGAACACGCTGGAGTGCTGGATGTCAAACGCTCCAGTCACCCAGTTTCAGGCTCTCCAGTGGGCAAAAGAAAACTCAGTAGCAATTTATACTGATAGCAGGTATGCATTTGCAATGGCTCACGTACATAGTGCTATTTACAAGGTTCGCATGTCACCTCTGAAACGCGTGATATAGGTTCACCATCACTGTTCTTACACATAGTGTTGAATTTGTCTTCTATCCTTTTCAGTGACCTTATGACCACTTCTCTGAATTCTTTCTCTGTCATATTGTTTGCCTCCATTTCATTTACTTCTTCTGGTAATTCCTCCTTTCTTTTGTATGCGGGCTGTTTCTTTGTCTCCCCATGATTTCTCCTCTCAGGGTTTCTGGTTATGTAGCTCTCTCTCTCCTGCACTGACTTTCTTTAGGCAATGCCAGCTGTGTTTACTTTGCCAGCTCTGGCTGGGTGCTCTTTGATTCAGCTGTTCCTTCTGCTCTGTGAGAAGGCACAGGGCCTGTCCGTCAGTTCGCACATTTGTCTCCCCCTGAGAAGACCTGCCAGGTGCCCATGGTCAAGGAGGTTGGAGTTCTTCCATTCCTAGATTTGCAGCTGAGATAACTGGTCCCTGGACGTCTTGGTTTTGAGGTCCTGGGAGGCATCCAAGATCTCCCCATTTGAAGGTAAGGCTGGGGTTCTGATCACAGTCAATCTCCAATCACAGCCATCTCGTCTTAAAGATGACACAGCCTCTGTGGGACCGCCGGCCACTCCAGAAGAGATTTCAGCTACAGTAGAGGTTGACCAATCACGGGAGGCCGGTCCGCCAGTCCCCAAGAGTCCCCTGGAGTATAACTGAACCTTGCTCACAAATATTGACACTCCCTACACATCCACGCACCCTCCTTTCGTTCTCTCACTCTTACACTATCTAGCACCCTGCAGTCTCGTAGGCAGCCATCTTACTTCTCCTATTTGTTTGTTTTGTTAATCCTCACCTGAGGATATTTTTTTCAGAGAGAGTGGAAGAGAGGGGCAGAGTCAGAGAGAGAAACATCTATGTGAGAGAGACACATCAATTGGGTGCCACCCACACACCTCGACCAGGCCAGGCATTGAGCCTGCAACCCAGGTACTTTCCCTTGACCAGAATTGAAACCTGGACTCTCTAATATGAGAGATGATGCTCTAACCACTGAGATAAACCAGTCAGGCAGTCAAGCATCTTTTATCTGAAAGTTTTGCTAGCTCACTTAGGCTGATTATCGTTAATTAAGTCAACTTAGA